CCAGGGCCTATACAAGGGCCAAAGCTGGAGACAGAATTTGTTTTCCTATGTATTTAGTACTGTGTCTGCAGGGTCTCACTACACAGATCAGACTCCTAGTGATCCTCCTGTTTTCAGCCTCCCAAATGCTAGGATTACAGGCGCGCGCCACCACGTCCAGTCTCAGTCACCATCTCAGCACACAGAGATAGAATTTTCATATAATTCTCCATTGTTCTATTTTTTCCAGTTTACCAAAATACTGGCTGCAGTGAGATCAAAGGAAAAGAACAATACGTAAGAGCCCCTGAGAACAACTGTGCACTCTGCTCGGAGACTTGTAATCTGCTAGGTGGATGCGGTTCTGCCTGTTTGGATCCCAGGGTAAAAATGATGAGGAGATGGCAGGAGAGGAAGCCAAAGCCTGGCCTCTGGGCTATGCAGCTTGAAGAAAGCAAGAAGGACCAACTGTTTTATAAAGAGTTTCTGTTGCTACAATATTCCTAGACCAAAAGTGACAGGAATAGCACGTTAGCTACTAAGGCCATTTAGAAAATAAATGAAAAGAGTTTTATAATGAACTGCTCGGGCTGCTAGCATGTAAATCACCTAATTAATCTTCAGGTCACAAGGAAAGACAACCAAACTTTAAAGGCCTCACATATGATGCAAGGTGATGCAACAGCATTCTTGGGGGAAAACTTCAACGGTGTCTGCCCAAGCTTCTAGCTAACAGTACACCAAACATAGTTACACACTGCACTGCAGCGGAAGACAGTCAAACACAGAATGTGGGAAATTCTGCAGGACACTTTATCTCTGATTTCTTCTAAAAAATTGAACAAGGTTTTAAAAAAACTGCTTCAGGCTTTTAATTAAAAGAAACTCAATGTATCAAATGCGTACACACATGCGTTTGATATCCGGCTTTGTTTGTATCCAGGTTCAAACAAAGAAAGTAAAAGTTTAAAAAAAAAATATGCATGTGTGCTTATAATTTTGATATCTTTTAACATACATTTTTGTTAATTTTTCTGCATAATGATATTGTGGGTTTTTGTTTAAGCTTTCCTTGCACCCCACTCTCGATACTGTGGGCTTTTTGATGGGTACTGTACATACAGCTTTCTAGAATAATGATGATAATGGGATTTGCTGTATGGTAATTACAATGGTGAGAAGGATAAATGGAACAGTAGTAGCTACATGTTGAAACTGGATAATCTTTAAATAACAGAAAATTCTGCTTTTCCCAATAAGAAAATAAAATTTACATATTGAGGGATCATATCCCAAATGCATATTATCTGACAAAAACTGACACTAAGAATATATGAAGGACACTTCTTTCTCATTAAAAGACATGAGCAGCAAATAACCACATGGAGTTTTTTTTTAAATTTCATTTATTTATTTATTTATTTAAGTGTGTGTGTGTGTGTGTGTGTGTGTGGCCAGCTCAGCCCACCAGGAGGCGGGGCTGGCTGGCATGTGGTGCTGGGGGATTGAACCGCGGTCCCTGTGCTTTGCTAAGCCCGTTCTAAGTAGGCGCTTTAGACCACTGAGCCATCTCACCAGCCCCTACACATGGAGTTTTGAGGAAAGGGTACTTAGCTATCCAAATAAACCTGCAATAAAATGGCACCGTAAAACGGTAAACTGGCTAAAAATAAAAATAAAAAACTGCCACATTGGTGAGGCTACAGCGAGCACATGGAGCAAGAGGCGCTCTCACCCAGCTGCTGGAGGCCATCAGGGAACTTAGCAGCCGAGCAGTGGAAGGCAGCAAGGGGTGAGGAAGCCACCCTGCGCGCGCGCGCACCCCGCAGCACGCCCAGCGAGGGGCACCGCGCTCCTGCTGTTCCCTCCGCAAGCCCAAGTCTCAATGACACCACTCTGCACGAGGAAACAAGACCAAAAAGAGCCGTTCAGAGGGCCTCAGAGGCACTCGCCTGCACCCCACACTCCGGGAGGCCGAGGCAAGAGGACCGCAAGTTCACACCCGGCCTGGGCCACTAGGTGACTCAGTGAGACCCTGTCCAAAAATTAAAAATGCAAGCTGGATGCAGCTCAGCGTGAAGAGCCTGGATTCATCCGCCACTACTATGAAAATAAACAATAGTCCACTCAGGGGAAGGTCTAGGAAAAGCTAATGGCAATGACAGCAAACAGATGTTTGCTGAAGTGGACAACGAGACTCACTTCTGAGTAACAAAACGTTGACCGTGCTGATAACTACAGCGATGAGAATGTTCAAGACTCATCAAACTGCAGACATCATCCAAGCTACACCTGACGGCGTGCAAGCTGCCCCTCAAAGTTAACTGTAAAATCTCACAGTCAGACACAATTACTCGACTTTTATGGGGTCATGTATTAGAAGGTGAATTGCACTACGAAGTTAAACTAAGGATATATGGAAAAATCACTTAGGAGGAAAACCAAATTGTTTTAACAATTTAAGATATTGTAGTCATGCCGCAAACTTAGATTGGGGCATCAACAGAGTGGAAATATAAAGGAATAGGCTATTTTAGTGCTCTCAGCCTAAAAAGACAATAATACAAGTCCTAAGAAACAAGTGAATGGTTCCTTCCTTCACATGAAATCTGTTACAATATGGAAAATAACTGTCACATACTGATAGTTCTTGGGTGTTCAACATGCAGAATAAGTTTCAGGTGTTGTCATATACACTTGCGTAAAATGGGCCCTACAGTTTAGAAGAATCCACAGCAGGTTGTTTTCCATTTGGTACAGGATCTCACTATGCAGCTCGGACTCGAAGTAATCCTGTCTCAGCCTCTCCAGCACTGAGATTATAGGCAATGGCCAGGGATTGAACCCAGTGTGCTTGCCAGGCAGGCACTTAAGGTCCTGAGCCATCTCCCCAGTCCCAGGTTGTTTTTTAAATTAAATAATAAAGAAAATTGATGCGAAGAACAATCCTTTAAATCTCTGAAAAACTAACAATTGGAAAAATATATTCTTGGACTTAATTCTCTTTAAAGTATATCTTAAATTATGATAAAAGTATCTGGGACATTTAAAAAATGGGTGAATATAAATATATACATATATAAGGCTGACCAGCATATAGAACATTGACAGGGTTCATTGATTTTCTTGTATTCTGATAAGAGCAAACGAAGAAAACTGTGTTTAGCTTGCTGTTGCTACTTTTTAGTAACTTTAGCAAATAATATGATGTCATAATAGACTAAGTCACAAAAACAAATTCTCCATAATTCAGTTTTTTTTTCATTCTTTTCTTTTTTTGTATTTAGTACAGGGTCTACAGAGTCTCACTACATAGACTGGACGTTAGTGATCCTTCCTGCTTTTCAGCCTCCTAAGTGCTGGGATTACAGTAGCTGATTGAGCCACCTCACCCAGTCTCAATCACCCTCTCTGGGTTCCCTGGGGGTGGGGCCAGCACAGCAGTTCTGGGGGTTGAACCCCCAGCCTAAGGAGGCGCTTTAATCCACCAACCTACCTGGCCGGCCTTCCATAACTCAGTTTCTAAGATGACCAAATCCAAACCCCTCTACCCTAGAACAGGTCTCCGGAAATACTTAAACTGTTCCATGCATATCTTAGGAATTTTATTAGATTAATAATTAAATCAACCTCAAAAATAAAGAGGGGTGTTTTGATCACATTGTTTTACTACTAAACCTCTTCTGAAAACTTCTTTTCCTTGTGACAAGGTGCCTCTGGTTGTGGTAGACCAAATTATTTTGACTTCATTTACTTTGAGCTACTAAGGGAGCTATCAACACCACACCTCAGGAAAAAGTATGAACATTTCTTGTGAAAAGTTCACTTATTTAAAAGAAACCATAAATCCAGGTAGTGTAAAATGATTTCGATCCAATTTTGACACACCATAATTTCCCTTCGTTTGTGTAAGTTCATATGACACCTGCAAACACAGTTAGGCGAGTGACGTAGCTTCTAGACAAAAAGGCTTCGCTCAGCATCTCCTGTCCCCGGCCTTACGAGCAGCCTGTGTCCCCCTCACGAGTGCGCGTGCGTGTGCACCGGAAAGCGTGCTTAGGAAACTTTTTACTTTACGAGGAGATACGGCACACGCCATCAGGGTTCCTCCACCCCTGTGAGTAGCAATCCTAAATTGGCCACGCCTAAATTAATAAAATGTACTTCTGGAAAGTATCTTCAACAGTGAGTTACTATCATTCAGGGGCAGCCTTGAACTTCTGAATTAGGCTTCAAAACAACTGAAGTATTCCTTTCCAACGTACAAAACGTGAGCAGCAAGCCTGCGTTAGGAGTGACGTAGCCACCAATCACGCTTCTACCCGAGGGCAGTTTTGTTTGGTACAAACATTTTGCTCAATTCCTGTGCGCTAACCCATTTGAGTGGGACAGCACATGCCATAAGTCATTTCAATTCATTAGAGACACATGAAACAGAAAACCTTGGCCCTGCTTTCATACAAGCACTTTTCCTCACTTACAGAATCCATATTTTGGCCATTAAATGCTCTTCCACTTCTTTTGTGATTTTTTTCAATTGGAAAAAAGTACCCATAAAACCAATTTTTTAGGTATATAGTAAATTTTGGTTGCACGTTAATTTTATTAAGTATGAGCAAATTTTTTTTTCTCCTAACAGACAAAAATACATTGACCAGGCCGGGGATAGAGCTCAGCAGTCTAAGTGCTTTCCTGGCAAGTGCAAGGACCCAGGTTTGATCCCTAGTACCACATGCCGTGCCACCGTGTTGGCCACTGAAACAGGGTGTGGTGGTGCATGCCTGTAATCCCAATGCTGAGGTGGCTGAGACAGGAGGATCACTACGAGTCTGAGCTGCGCAGTGAGACCCTGTACCAAATACATTAAAAAAAAAAATTAAAATTAAATAAAAAATAGAATAATAAACTAACCAAAGAGAAGTTCAGCACTAGGAGACAACAGACTCAAAAAAAAAAAAAAGTCATTTTCTCAAACATCTATGTTCTAAGTTAAAATTAAACTTGATCACTGATTGACTTACCAATATTTTCTGTGGGCATCGAGACCCTTGTGGGTTCCAAGAGATTGTCCGCGAGGACAAAAGCGCCTTCTTCCAAGGTGTCGAGTAACATCGTTGCTGTATGTGCTTGCTCAGAAGAATTCATATGTCTCCAGGACTCCAAAGCCTCAGGCCTCAGAAGGTTGTCCACGGTGTCGACAATTGCCTGCATCCATCAGAAAATGGTCATGAAAGCTGACTGCTTTTACGAGTATGGTGATTTTCAATCACTGACTGGTGTCGACTGTAAAATTTATCTGTCATTATGATCTACTCTAACGTCAAGAACGGAAAAATACTTGGCCAACCTGCACAGACCTGGTCACTTCATACTAAGGACAAGTGGGCTGTGACTTGGGTACTGTATGAGTAGAAAGGTGGCCTGTTTCTATTTACCTATTCAGGGGCCAGGGATAGAGCTCAGTGGCAAAAATGCCGGCCTGGCAAAGCTTGAGGTCCTGAGTTCAATTCCTGGTGTTGGGGGGGATAAAATCTGTTTACCTAATCAGACCTCAGCAGTTGGAAGAAAAATACAACAAATATCAGTAGCTCTCAATCTGAGGTATGACTTTTTCATTTAGGGTTACAACTACTAAGGTAATAATGTTTAAAGTCAAGAGCTGAATCTTCTAAATAGAAAACTCTGATGTCTCTAAAGCAGACTAACACTTATTCCTGAAACTTGAATCATGTTGCCTTTTGGAACCTAAATTAGAATAGTAACTAAAAGTGTATCTGATGGACATTAACTTATTCATTATTATTTGATAAATAAAGAGATAGCTTCAAAGTTATTTGCTAACATTTTCACCCTTCCAGTTCCCTGTCCAGGGGGAAAAATATACTGTAATTTATAAAAAAAAAAGTCTACTCTCAGAGAAATTAAGAAAAATATTTAATGTCTGCACTGGTAATTTAAGGAAAATAGAAGCTTTTAAAGTCATCAAAAACATCCAAACTGCAAACATTCATGTAAGTATGAGATCAACTTATTATCCTGCAAAAATAAATAAAAGAATAATGCAGTCAGCTTTGCAGCAGGATCATCTTGAGTCTTGCTGTGCTTATGCCCTGAGTAGAACCCAGGCAGCTGAAATGACTACACTTATTTACACTTCACTTACCTAGTCATAACCTATATTATTAAGTTCCCAAAATGAACTGTTGACCTATTGGTGATCACTTAGGAAAAAGAACATTATATATATATTGCTAGTTTAGGGTAGGATATTGAAATGGGCAGGAAAAATCTGTTTGAGGCCTCTGTCAGAGTAAGATTAATTGGCTCAATCCATCTTAATATCCTCGTTCTGTCTGCCTTGTAAGCCTCACGACCCCTCTGGCAGGTGGAAGACGCTTTCAAGCGGCGCTCTTCTCTGCCTCTAGTGGGAGACGATTAGTCACCATGTTCCCGCGGCCACTGCTGCAGCCACCAACCAGAGTGGAATGGAAATGGGTCTGCCGAGGCTCCATTCGCGTGTCACCGAGCAAGGCAGAGTGCAGCCTCGCATCTCAGTTACAAATGAATCCTCTGTCACAAGGAAGGCACTCGCTTCACTCGTACAGGGTAAGGCAGCTTCTGAGGTGCGACTGAGGGAGTTTTCTTAGTCTTATCTGAACAGAAAGGCTTATCTGAGACATTCTGAAAATGACACTGGTCAGAAATTAAGGTCATACCCAAATTTACTATGTATACACGTAGCTCCCTGATGGCATGCTTCAGTATTTAAAAAATCTTATTTATTATCATTTGTACTTTTCTAGTGGGATCCAAATGATCGCTAGCCTAATCATATCCCTGAAGCAGTCTTTTCTTGCTAAGGGAAAAAAACAAAACAAACAAACAAAAAACTATGATTTTCCTACTGAAATGTATGTCAGGGACAACGTACCAATTATTTTACTTTACACATTAACTAATAGCTTAAAGGTGATCTGAACATTTGTGTAAGAAAAATTCTATAGATTGCAGCAATTATTTCTCAGCCCCACGAAACAGGCTAAAAAGGGACAACTTGAAAGTAGACTTTGTCCCCTCCAAAAGTAGGTACATCCTTACAAAAGGTCTCAGGTCTGACAGTATCTTTTATTACTGAGATGCCATTCTTTTTATTCCTTCCTACACTCTGCCAAACAAAATTAATGCCGTTATGGTTTCTGAGTAACCCCTGTGTTTGAAACTATAAAAATTCTTTGTTGGCATGGCATACAGAACAATTCTTGAAGCTCTGGTTTATCACAATAATGGTACCCAGGAGAGTAAGATTAGGACACTGCTAACCCTGAGACGAAACTTGTAAAATTCACAGATCCAAATGAAATGCAATTTGGTATTAATATTCTGAGCTAGCATCCAGAATTAGCGCAGCGTAATTCTACTGTTAGCCTCAGCGTACTTCCCGTTAGTTGGATATACGTACCAAGAAGAAAAAAAAACTGAAGAGGAAAAAGATTCTGAACCTAACAGCGACTCTCTGCTCTTATTAGCCAGTTAAAGCCCTTACGCAACGTATGCTGATCGTTCACCGTCACATTTGATTTCATTTTTGGTAACCCATCCCACATCAACCTGCTGCTAGAAGAGAATCATCAAATTTTCAGGACAGAGCCTACTTCACTGAAGAGTATGCCACAGAGATAAGAAAGCAGTGACTTTTTCATGCACATACATTATGACTACACAGTCTTTGATAGGATAAACTGCCAAGAGTATATCATAGCTGTTTGACTCGAGCTGTTTTTATTAAGTCCAGGGACGACGGGAGAAAACGTCTGAGACTGTATGATTGCTTTCCAATTCAGAGGATAGTTTGTTAAAATTCTTGATATTTTTGGATGAATGGAAAAACAGCAAAAATCATTAAAATCAATTAAATGCTCATTCTGAAGAGTCATATACCTGTGAAAAGCCAACACTGGCACAGCTGATATGGGGCATATTATATAATTATCAAAGACTGAAACACACTGGGCCATGCAGCAAGATGATAAAGCGTGGCAGGTAGCTGAAGAGGGAGAAAGCAGGGTGACAGCACAGGAGAGATACCTTAAGGTAAGCCCTGCATGTCTTCTCTCGTTTTTGGAGCTTTTAAGTAAAAGAAAAGAAAACCAGAGGTTAGATTATACCTGTTGAAAATGAGGAAGGGAGAAATCCTCAAAAAATAAGCTGGCGTTCCAGAGTTCAGTCCATTATTTACAGGCGTCCTCTGGATGTCGGTGGCTCTACACTAACTGTCCGGGTTATTTACTTACACGTTGTAGCTGTGTTTTATGAGATGTACATTAAGCCAAAGCATGTTGGCCAAGGGGAAAAAAGGAAAAAGGGATCAAATACAAACTGCAGTTCTTTTTTTTAAAAAGCTCATTTTTTTTTGGTCAACCTTGGGAAACCATATTAGCCACAGTTTTGGCATCCAAATGAATGTAATATAAACAGTATTATTTCCTATCACATTTTAGTCACAGCAGGAAAAATTAATAGCAATGATACAAATTCTCCTTGCAGGGAAACCTGAGCCGCACATGTGTCGCAGCTTTCCTGCAGCCGTACCAGCTGCAGCACAGTATCAGCTGCGTGACACAGACTTCTGCAGGTGCCACGAGCGCATGCTAAGACCAGAGTGCTGACCACAGTCAGGGATGCGGCTGGCCAGCAGCTGGGGTCCCCTAGGGAATCAGTATTCTTTACATCGGTTCATAAAGACACTGTTGCTCTCTAAACCACAGCTCTTCTTTTGGGAAAGGAAGCAAGTTTTGGTTTTAAAAGTATGTCCAGGGGGCCAGGGCTTTGGCAGTTGATTGCTGCAATCGTGGGGAGCTGCCGTTCAAAATATCTCGTGTAAAACAGGGAAGCGTTTCCCCTACCTTGTTATAACTCCTTCCGGCGGAATCCTTCTCGCTGGGCTTCAGTTCCTGCAGCTGCGCGTCCAGGATGTCCACCAGCTGCTCCATGAGCCTCACCGAAGAACTCACGTCGCCCGCGAACACCGGCCCCTTGGTGTGTTTAGCCAATTCGTTGGCGAGACTGGCAGCATTTTCTCCACTTCTGATCTGAAATGACAACGTGCGTTATCTTAGTAAGATTTCCTGTTCTGCTTGTGGCTTCTAGGTCCCCTTGAGCACTTCTGTTGTGGTGAAAAAGAGAAATTTTTGCAACGATGCTAAAATCTGCAACTAATTGAGACAGTAACTTTTTCTTCATCTCAGAAGATTAAAGCATTTTAGATGCTCAGCACACAAAAGAAATTCCTAACCAGACACTTAAAAGAATCACAAGGCAAATTAAACCCCCCCCCCCAAAAAAAAACCCCACTTTCTCAAAAATTCTCAGGCAGTTCCCGCATTTCACTATACACATTTAAAATTATTATTTAAAACTCTTGTTTATGCCCATGATCTAGAACTTAAATCAGAAGTGAATCGGTGTGAAACAGAGGGTTATTATCTAGTCTTTTTCCTTCAGGGGTGGATAGCGAAGAATATGAAAGCGCACTGCATTGTACTTCAATATTCAAGTTCCTGATGCCTTTTAAAGGCATCATTCTACTCCTGGCATCATACTCACGTACGATATAAACATCTGCTTGCATTCTGTGAATCTGGTTACAAACTTAATGATACTTGATTTATAAGGCCAATGCACTATGTGTCTTATGAACATCAAAAGAAGCAGGGCAAACTAAATATGAATGAAATTAAACAAGTATGTATTCATTAAAAAGCTTAACATAGAAAACAGAAAAGCCTGAAACATATGTAGCTTTCAATAAATAGTGAACAGATAAAACCATGCCTATGTTTTTTCTTTTACATTGAACAAAGAGCAATGAACCTCGTTTTAATATACAAAATGAAATTATTTATGCTAGACATCAAAGCCCTACATCACCAATGTGTATCATATTAAAGTGATCCAACCAACCTTCTGAGCCAGCTGATTTACCCAGTGTGAGGTACAGTTGCTAAGATCGGGGCCCTTAGGGTTCCATGTTCCAGTGGAAACCATGCAGAGATACGAGGCAGTCCCTGCAACAGATGTAGAAAACAGCAGCGAAATTGAAACCATTTTTCTGCATGCATTCGGGAAATCGGCTAGGATGATCCTAGACTGTGTGTTAAATTTTAAATAAACACTAATGGAAGTAGTTGACAATAACTGACAAAAAAAGGAGAGGAAAACGCCGATTGTAAGCAGTGATTATAAAGTAAGTACAGAAATATCAGACATTTACAGCAAACAAGCAAGAAGCCCGTGCTTTTCTTGGGACTCGGCCAAGGCAAGGCCAGGAATGAGGAGGCAGCTGGAAGGCCCCTCTGAGCCCTTGCACAAAATCTTTGACTTGACCTAGCCCTTTAAGAGGGAGGGCTAAGACAGTACCTGACTTTTATACTTTACCAATCCTTTAAGTTGCATTCAGATGCTATATTACCAAAGTAACAAAACTAGCTGCTATAAATTCTCTTTCTTCCTATAAAATTCCTTGAAGGTAACTCAGAGCCTACTTACTAAATTTATAAATGTACGCATATTATTTTAACGGAAATACCTCTTGTTCCCTTGGGACAGGGCCGTTCAACCATCATTCCCCTTTGTGTCTGAGGCCACTTTATCCCCCTCGCTTCTAATGCTTCGCAGAATCTCTCTGGCAGGGGAAAAATATTTGTTACAGGAGGAATTTTGGTTGTAGAAACTGCTGGAGGTGGTTTTGTCCCTTTGCTTCCTTCCTGGGATCCAGCTACAGTGGTGCTCGAGCGGCCTTTCTGTGAAGTAGTGCTTGCGGTTGGCACTGTGGTTTTGAACAGCTCAGCTGAAGAAGTTATTGTCACAGCTGTGGTAGGCACTATGGAAAAAAGATGAGTGCATTAATCTCAGACACAGGTACCCTCACAGGCATGCACATGTGAACGTGCACCTGCGCAGACACACAACACGCTGCCCGCCACAATGTCCCCCACAACAAACAGAATTTCTGACACGGCCAGGAGGGAAGGAGAACAATTCTCTTCATTATTTCCCATTTATTCACTGTACTGCCTAAAAGATGGTAGTTTGAATTTGCTGTAACTTCTGCAGCATGATTCTGTCCTTGTTTCTCATTGAAATATTTGATAGTGCAGTTGAAATATAATCTCACGGCGTGTAATAGGAAATAAAGGGTAGCTTAATGCAGGAAAATTCCTATGGAAACTTATACTCTATAAACAAATCCAAATTGTTGACAAAGGCTGACAGCTATATATAATTGGGACAATAAAAAAGATTTAAAGTCACCCATTCTACATCTTTCAGGAAAATAAATACAGGGACATCTTTCCACTCAGCAGCCACTGTTGCTTGACAGAGTTTGGAGCATGCCTGATTAGACCAAACAGAAGATCAACCTGGCATGCCTGTTCTGCGTTAGTAAGGAAACGTCCCAGGCTTGGTCATCATCCCCTTTGGAAAAGTAGATAGGAAGAAGCTGCTAGTTCTGGTCAAAAAGTGATAGCAAATTTCTTAGCAAGACACACAGTGCAATCAAATCACGCTTCACTGGAACACATATTTTACTGACCCTTAACCGAGAACATAAAGGAACTCTGGATACATATTTCAAATTTTTTGAAGGTTATTTTTATCTTGCAATATTAGTTTCAAACAGTTCCATTAACTAGGTTAGACATAATGCTTTCTTCATTATCATACAACTAAGCAACAATAAAAGAATCTGTCAAATCTGTTAGCAATTACACTGAAGTTTTGTCAATATTCATAGAACGACTCTTAAAACTTTACATGATAGTTTAATTGTGATTCTAAGTACAGCGAAATAAAAAGAGATTTAAAAAATCTTATAAAAACATTACATTATTTAGTCTGTACACAAGAAACAAGGTGTAATGTTCAAACTTATTAGAAAATAAGTTCACATTATCACCAGTATCTTTAATATTGTAAACTCTGGTTCACAAGTGTTTGTCTTATACTTCAGATTAAAAGCATGCGAAGTTTATAAAAAAAAATAGTATCTATTGCTAGGTCTTTTGTACTGACAAAATTATCCTTAGAAATACATACTACCCATATTCTATTTCCTTTTCTCCTTCTCAACAGAAGCTTCTTAAGAACATGTTGTATTTCAAAGGCTTAATTTATTGACCATATGAGAGATGCTTAGGAACCTCGGTCAAACATCATGCCGGCCCGGCTGCTGCTGCTACAGAAAGTGATCCAAGCCTGTCTATCTTTTCCTGCAGAACACTTGCCTGACATCCTGTTCAACCTCTGTAGTTTTCTTTTGATTACAATGCCGCTACGCTTTCACCGCTTTCTCAATTAACATTTGTCAAAAGCATCACGATCTTCTGCCGAAGCGTCAAATGAGGCCTGCTGAATCACGTCTTGTCGGGAAATGAAGGGTGAGAGCACAGGGGACAGGAGGAGGAGGAGCGAGCGGCGCGGAGGGGCACCGCCCCGTGTGGCCCTCAGCACCTCACACGTTGAATCACTGAAATACGTACTCACACTACAATGAGCGATCTGCTCGCGGGCATCGTTAAAGACTGATAATGACCGAGTGAAGCTAAATGATGAAATGATTCCCACTAAATGCATGAAAGCTCATGCAACATTCTAGTCACATTTCCTTTTTTTTTTTTGCTCATGAGTTTTCCTCTCTGTACCTTCTCATTCTCAGAAGACTTGAGAATGGAATCGACACTCTTCTGAATCCTTTAGCAGGACAAGCTAGAATCTGAGATTTTGCAAAACTTAAATTCAGCAGGAAGTCAAGGCAAGCAGTTTTTGTTGTTCTTTGTGCACTGAAGCAAGAAATGAAGGTCTTTCTAAAAATTATTATGCTTCCTACAGGCAGATGGAAGGGCCTAAAAGGCACCTGGCAGCGGCGAAAGCCCGCACTCCTCTGGCATCTACCTGCCAGCCGCTGCACCGTGCGCCATCACGGCTACCAGGCCGCTTCGTGGGTCCTCCCAAGACCCCAGAAGCTAGGCAGAGAATCACCCCCCTTCCATGGCTGTGGAAACTGAGCCACGGAGAATGTGAGTGATCTGCTGTTCAAGGCTGCTTCTCCACACTCTTTATTTAATGTTTGGATGTTCCATTTCTAAGCAAAAGATCCTGACAGACTTCCAAGTTCAGATCCTACAAAGCCACTTGCCCATATTCTGAATATTTAGCCAACACTGCATTGTATAAATCTCTAAAAAAGGTTTTTGGAAGATTATATAAAACTAGATCAATAAATAATGAAAAGTTTAACAACGACTTAATGGCAAAGGTGCAAAACTCAAGAATATTTTATATGGGGGCTGGGGAAACAGCTCAGTTGAATAAGTGCTTGCCTGGCAAGCGCAAGGGCGTGAGTTCAATCCCCAGCTCTGGGGGGAGGGTGGGGAGAGAAAAGAATATTTTATGGAAAGTAGCAGAAAACATGACCGCTCACAACAGAACTGTAATTTAAAGATGATCCCTTTTATACTAATTGCAGTAACGAACTGCTATTTACTGGGATTAGGCATCAGACATTCAGATGAGCTGCTAGCATTCTGTCTACTATTTACCATTTGAGTGTGAGTTCAGTGATCTCAACAGAATTGCAACAGACAGGCACTGAAGAGGATTTCAACAGGTACCCAGAATGGTTCAGCGGTACTATGCTAAGGTGCTCTTTACTACCCCGTTCCTCCCGCAGTAAGGAATTTGAGGACTTTATTTATAAAAGGTAATAGACCATTGCTCACTGGATGAAGTGAGGCTGTAGCCTGACGAACAACACTGAGCATTCACTAACCTTACTCTCACTCAACGCGCGCAAACATCATTCCTTAAGAGAGCATCCATCATCAGTGAAAAGGGTATCAGTGAAAAGTCTTTGCTACGTACTTCTTGTATACACAAAGCTGGCTCTTTGGTTAATCTTTTTCCCTTGTATTATCAAAGTACCTTACCTTACACTCAAGCTCAGACATATTTAGTACAGATACCATATTTGGTTGTTAACGTTGTGGATAGCAAATCTGTAGGCAGATTAAGTGAAAACACACCAGTGCAGACTAACACATGCAACAGAATTAAAACAGGCCAGAGAAAGACTTCTTTCCTCAAACAAGCTAGAGAGAGGTAGGTGAGAAAGAAAAATTAGTTTAGAAGAATGGAACAAATACACTACTCAGGCATGACATAATAAAGCTAGAAATTCAGAGAAAAAAAAAGATCACAGTATAGAAATAATGTTTGTGCTGCTAGAAACGGAAATGCTTGAATTTATAAACAGGAGAAAGCATCAGGAAAGCTAATCTGCAAGGTAAGTTTCTGTAGTGAAGAATGAGAGGAGGGGCAATTCATACCCTATGTACACTGTGGCCACACATGCAGCAGGTAATTTGCTAGGAAGAGATCCCAAACAGAGTGACAGGACCGATTCGAAGGCTCTGCCGGGAGCCTATCGGGTTCACAGACTTTAGGTCTGAATTTTAGCCAAATAAGTCAGTCTGCTCTGTTTCTTGGACCTTGCCTCTGGAAAGCTGACAGAAGTGTATTGGCCTGACTTGCATCTACTGGCCAGAATCCCTCTGCAAAGCCCCAACTGTAGGCGTGTAGATAGCGTATGTCTCGAAAGAAAGATACTGGTGCTTCTGAAAGCATAGAAAGATAAATTAGAGGGAGGAACAGAATAAGAATATGGGTCAAACAGCACCAAGGGAAATTAGGTCAGAAGAAACCTCGCATTACTTAGGGCTTGGTAAAGGGTCAACATGAATTTGCATGTTCTGGGAATGCTTATAAAAATCTTTATTTTAGACCTGAAAACACCAATGTAGGAGTATACACTTGCTGTATATATGAGGAAGATATATTAATTTTCAAAGGTGAAAGTTGCTGTTCCACAGAGCTCCTAAATTACCAAAGACTTTCATCTGAATTGCATCAAAATATTTACTGGAATATATACCACATGTAGAGAATGACGTTACATTTAATAATGACTTCGTGGATAGTAGGGGGCTTAATGACTTTCTATTGAATTGAATCTGAACTTTATTCACGATCCTTCATGTGTTGGCTGATTACGAAGTTGCTCCTTTTTAAAGCATTTTCCTTCTCTTTATTCCTAATGAGCAGGAAAGATTTCCTGCCACGCAAGACAAAATGCCGCAGTTGTAAGGGTAATGCAGGTTAAAAATGGTTAACACAAGATCAATAAAATTTTAGCTAACGGCTTGAAGTCTGTGAAATTTGACTTTGGAGAAACATACAGAAGAAAGGAGGAGCAACGCAGCAGCTACGGGGAAAATAGGAGAGACGAGACTTCCCACGTAGCTGGCGTCAGGGGAAAGAAGATCCTGTATGTATAAATTTTAAAATAAATGATTCTCAGATACGATCAGTAAAGATTTTATGCTCTAAAAGAAGATTCGAATATTAAAAAGTTAACAAGGGATTATTACTGCTATAGTTTTAAGAAAACTCTAGGTATACACAATTTTGGGAAAAAAATAGGTCCATGTCAACATTGCTTACTGTTCAAACAAAACTCGCATGGTTTTGTATTCTATACAGGGTCAAGTTAGAAATCCAATTAGAAAAGGTATAATTTATCCTTCTGAGGTCCTGATCATATGACAATATTTAGAATTAACACCATAAATGAAAATAGAACTGGGTATATATTTGGAGATATGAGTATATTTAAGTGCATATACCTTGTTTTCATAGCAGAAAGGCCAGCTGTTGCACTCTTTTGTAAAGGTTGACTTATTCCCCAAATTTCCAACTTCTAAAATTTTGAACTTCACAATTTGAAATTTCCAATTAACTCAGTACACTGAAATACTAATTCCTATTTTAAACCCACAAACAGGATTATTCCAATAGAAAAGACTTAATTACTACCAGCTCTATACTCAAACATTAATAGGCTATTCTTGTATCGTAAGTATGAAGTAATTTTACTTTTAATAATTTAACTTTCCTCACAAACTATTTCTCACAGAATTGAACTCATTTGATAACCATAGTCAAAATATGTCCAAAAATTTAGCATTAGTTTATAAAGCAATGGTCTGGAAAAATACCTGAAGAGAACACAAATCAAAAGTGCTCACACATCTGTCATCATAAATCATCACCAGGACTCTCTTAATATTCAATCAGTATGTGACAGTTAAAATCACAGAAACACTGACTTCAAACTGTCATGATTTTAACAGGAAATGAAGATACAATTTTACATGACCAACCAGAAGTAATCTGGGAGATTTCCTCTCCTTTCCAGAGAACAGATGCCAGAACTTGAAAATATTTATACCTACCATTGTACATCAAAACTCGCCATTCTCTTGGGACTTCCTAACACACACATTTCTTTTAACCACTGGCGCCAAGAAGTTAAAAGGTCTGCACATAGATTGTAATCAATTCAGAAGTCAGGTAGGGGAAAAAGGCTAACAGGTTTATAGATGCTATTATATTTTTAGCAATAAAAAACTAGACTGAATAATGATGCTATAATTTCTTGAAGCTAATGTTTTAATGAAGAAATTCAGAAAGAAAAAGCTCAATAAAACACTGTAAGGCTAAAATATTCTCCCTTATGTCTTGTGCATTAGCTGTGAGACACAAAGAAAGAAAAAATTAAAAAAAAAAACCCGAAATATACTGAGAAGTCCTATACAAGTAAGCTGTTGACATGTAACATAAGCTTTACCAAGTAAATAATCTCACCTTGGGCAGGATCAGGTGGACCAAACTCCAGAGAATATCGTAAAATAAAATTATTGTTCCACACGTAGAGCTGGTTATCTCTTGGATTGTAATCCACCGCAGCAATGTACTGGTACTGGTTGGGGAAGGGAACATCTACGTACTCTCCCCGGTTTAATCGGGTGTTGTAAATGTAATCAATTGCATTCTTGCCTGTTTCACTTTCATTGTCTTGGTAAACTGACCTGACCACATAGAGGACTCCACAGATCATAAAAGCATTTGAGGCGGCACGTTTGTCATACACAGTCTCCCACGTTGCTTCAAACCGGAGTGTGTACGGGTTCAGCTGGCTGATGACTATCATCCCATTGTTCTGTTCAGTGGCATAAATGACCCACAGGCCGTTTTCATCGACTGCTAGGTCGATATCAGTCTTCCCTCCCCATCTGTAGGGTGAGGTGTCGTGGTAGTTGGCATAGTTAATTATGGCCTCGCCACTCTTAATTCTAGTCCTCAAGTCAAACTTCACTATATTCCTTGTTCTTTCTTTGTTAAAGAAGACAGCACCGTCGTAGACCACAAATCCAGTACCATCTACGCGGTTTGGAAGTTTGTATGTCGTTGTTTGGCGACTGTTTTGGAAGTCTTCTATAGAGGCATACTCTATTAAAGTATCAGTGCGGTAGGGAGTCCAGGGCATGAAATAAATCTTATCTGCTGCCTGAAGAGGGTCCTTGCACCAAGCACCTGCCTTTTGTTCAGCTTCATATATACATGGCGAGTCCACAATCGCTTTCAAGGTCCCAGGGCACACAAAAACTAATAGTCACAGAGAAAAGACAAGAATGAAGTCAAGTCAAAAACGTACATGGGCAAGCATGATTTTTATTGATCACAAATCAAAAAAAGGAAAATTTATTTTATTAGCACTCGATGAGGCCAAACTTGCTAATTAACAGAAGTACTACCCGTCTTCCCTGAAGCTGCCTTAACCATGTGGCACCCCCCCAAAGTGGCCAGGGATTATTTCCACAATTAAAACCTAAGTTCAAGGTCATTTATAATTAAGCTGGAGAATTTAAAAAATTTCGATATTTTTAATCATACAATTTGATGACAGATGCTTTAAAACTTTCAGAACTTATGGATTACGGTGTATAAATATTTTACTTTATTCCAATATTTATATGCTCCAGCCCCTCAAGCCCACCTATGAGCTCCCGAAAGTAAAACCAAACAGAAAATCCCCAAGCGAAGGCTTACTTAGAACCTTTACAAGTAAAAGCTACGTTGATTTAAAGAACACAAAAAATTGAAAAAAATGCAATTAGGAGCAGAGAAAAGGAAATACAAAGAAAGCAGAGATGGACGACCAGGAGCCCCTGTCACCATGGCATGCTATGGGGTGGGTTCTGGAAGCCAGGCAGGATGACACTTTAATAATAAGAAAATATCCGAGGGTGTCAGAACAAGAGATCAAAGGGGAAGAAAGGAACAGAGAAAGGGTGGCTCCCCCTCGCCGACTTCACAATTTTTACCCCATCACCAGATCTAGAGTCATATAATTTCATTGTAAACAGTCGAGTTCTTTAGGAGGTGCATTTATGAGATCCTGCTGATTATTTTAATACAGGAGAGTTGTGGGGAAAGGGGAGGGAGGAGGTTAACATCCATAAGGCACATAACAAGGAGCTGGGGTTCAGACTGTATACATTATTTACCTTTTTGCTCCACTTCTATTTTAAGCATCAGAAGAAAAATAAAAAAAGGTGCAAGGGAAAAAGAAAAAAGATTAAAAATAAATTGACTATTAGTCTAAGATTGAATTCGTAATAGATGCTAAATATAGGAAGAATATGTAGCTGTACTACTTTGGATAAAGAGAAAAACACACAGGAAAAACCTAGCAGGAAAAAGATTCTAAAGTTACATAAAAGAACGTGGATCAATCATTTTAGTAGATTAAGGAGGCAATACAAATATGTTGGCATGTTGCTTCACTTAGTGAACCTGAATAAATAATGAAACTCTTCACTAATGCATGCGATCCATACTCTTGCCTTTCCAGAGTCACTCAGCAATTCTTAGCAAGTTTTCCTTTCTGTATGTATGCTACAGACGTAAATGCATGCACAGGTGTCCTGTCCCCATTTATCTTATGCAAACTCTTTATCAAATTGACTAAAAATTACAAAAGCATAACAACAGGAAAACACATTTATAAAAGTAACTCAATTTCCGAGTTGAGGTTGAGTTCAAGAATATAATTATATTTCTTCCAGGATATGGATGTATGTATGACAAAATATAGAAATCTGTATCTCAGAATATGTTTCAATTATTTGCATATTTTTTTCTATGTATAGAAAGTACATCTTCAACATTAAAACGAATGCCTCCTTTTCAGGAATATATAAATCTCCTTCAGCCCCACTAGGGATTTTGAAGGATAAGATAAGCCAATGCCTTTCCTGTCCACTAAGAATTGGTAAATGTATTTACTTAGATCTACATATAATTTTATCACATAATTTAATTTTCTATGTAATATATATCAAACTTATAGTATTAAGTCTATAAAAAAAGTAAGCAAAATACATACAAGGGAAAAGCAAGCACAGTAGGCAAGGAGAAAAAGGAAGAAAGAATTATGGTTAGCTTATTATGACATTTTCTACGATCATAAATTGACACAGAAAGCAAGCCAGCATGCAACGACAATCATACCAAGCATTCAAAGCAAATACCTTGACTCCACTGACCCCATAAAAGGTAAATGCTTTCATAAAACAAACCTGATTAGTACAGTTATATGAAGTAAAAAGAAAAAAAAAAAACCCTATAGGTTTAAAAAATGCATTATGCAATTAAGCAAGGTGCTATGGAAGATCTTTGTTGGGAAATAGTACTCTGATAACCAGAAGTCATAAAATAGTATTTTAGGTATTTAATGTACACTTTGAAGTATGTTGCCTGAATTTCATCAAATGGACTAGATGGATGCCTGTGTGTTTCCCTCTAAAATGCACCAGCTCTAAAATGTTTCCCTCTACTGCGTATCCAAACAAAACTACACTTTCATGTTTCATTAAGAAATGAGCTCGATCAACTTTTAAAGTACAATTACTCACAAAGGTTAAATATCAACCTTCCCAAACCTCTTTGGAGAAACAAAGTTTACAAATACTTTTTGCCACAGAAGTAGCATAGAAACTTCTATATTAAGCCATGTTCTCCGCTATCCAACTTGGCCTATTTAACACTTTCAGGAAACACACTTGTGTTCTACATCATGTAATTCTGACTCTGTCTGGCGAACAGGGAAAATGCGGAGTTATTGTCCTTGAAATTACTCTTCTGTCAAGAGCAATATTACACACGCTTAGAATCTACAGCAGGAGGGTGTGGTGGGCGAGATCACTAGCACTATGACTCTTCGACTACTTTTATATACAGCTGTACGTTCTTTTCCTAAGGAAAGTACGATTCACTAAAATAAATAATAGGAATAATAAATTGTAAAATGTTACTCAATATAGGTTGCAGATGGACATTTTATATTTCCTATTCACTGACAGGGACTAGACTGTATTTTATTCGATATGCTAAAAATGACAGTGTAGTTACTAAGCAAAATAATCAAATAAAGAAGTGTGCATTTATTTGTGATTTAGCTAAAGTAACTTAAAGAAAAAGAAACTCACATAAAATTTTATACAACGTATAACTCTGATGAAACTCAGAAGTAGCACCAAATGTAAAAAAAAGAGAACAAATAAAAAACTTTTCATGATCAATGACATTAAAATATGGAGCTTTAAAAACAACAACAACAAAATCCCTACATAATAAAATTTAAGAAAACCCAAAACACAGAAAACTACTGAGTCAGGAAAAATTTAAGCAACTAGAAAAAATATTTGTAAAATGCAGGAAATTAAGGAAATGAGCATTCTTATCACATGCCAAATAGATACTGTAACTTATCTTAAGAGACTGTATAAATTAATTCATCACAATACATTTACTTCTCTGTAAACCGAACATACATATACAGGACCCACCAACATCAATCAGTGGAGGACTACATAGAAATACAAGACAGGAAACTGCTCAGAACTAACTGTGGCCTACATACTCTGTATCTGAAGTGACACACTATTTTACTTTTCAAAATCTCACATTGATAATGACTTCATCCACTGGTAGTAGGAAAGGCTATTTTCTCTTCAAGTAAAACTTGCAGCTCATATTCTATATAAAATGGTAATTTGAAATAAGGGTACAAAAATAAAAGCCAAATCTTATCTGGAGGATGCAAAACTACAAATGGACTGTCCTCCTTGATCCTCTGCAATTCTATGACTTCTTTTAATGACACACCCCATGCAACTTTCAACGGTAACGAAGGCTCTAGGTGCAGTTTTGAAACAGACACGCTCTTGGCTACGTAAGGCGCACGTAATGCATGTGTGCTCATAGCAAAGGACACTGTTTCTCACATATTCTGCCCAGGAAATTTATTCTCAAGTTTTTGAAGTCATAGAAAATTTCTGTAACTGTTTTCACAATAGGATAAAAACAATTTTGGGTGTGTAAGTTACAAGATACTGGAGGATTTGCTGCAGCTAGAAACTGATATAAAGCCAAGTGGCACAAAATACATACTGTTATCTGATGGTGACAAATTTTATTAACTAAATAGCCTCAAGGGATATGCAAATGGTACAAAATACAAGCGCATTATTAAAACAATGGTGAAGTGAAAGCTAGAGGCTTGAAATAAATGCATTGTAAGTAATGGATATAAATGGGCAGATGCGTAAGAAAATAAACAGCAAAAACATAGGAAGAGTTAGAAAATATATCATTGTACATAAGGCCAGAATAATCTAAAAGACCCTTTTCACTACATTTTAATATTATTTGAAATCATACAATTTCATAGTGTGTCACTACTGTACGGTATATAGGAATTATAATCACTTCTATTCTTTAGCAAGGAATGGCTTAAAAAACAAAGCCAAAGAGTTTATTTCTGCCTCGTACAAACATCTAGAAAGGTAACAACAAATGAATTACTGGGTTGACTTTTTGTTGTAAAGGACACAAACTAAAAAGAACAAATACTTCTCTGAGAATAGCTATTTGCAAGTGTAGTGCGCATGTACAATACTTCTGGAGAACTGAAAAAGTAAAATTTTGAAAGTTAGATGTCCCAGAAGATATCCACTTTTTCCCTTCATAACAGCGCAAGAAATTACTTAAGAGTCTGAAAATAATATCTGCTTCCTCTGTTCTTGGTCTACACTCTAGGTGACAGGAACTGGCTGCAGAAAGACACGATTCTTGGCAGGTCTGTCTGCCGCCACTGTTTGCAATGGATGCTGTATTCCTTCTCTAACTTGCGGACAGAAACCAAGCTGAATTCAAGGGAAAGGGACTTCATGGAACAAAATTTTGGTTAGCTCAAGTGAACACACCGTGCTCAGCGGCACAGGAGAACGATTATGTGAGCCGCCAACACTACACACGGGAAAAACGGCACAAGGATCGGTGCACGCTGTGGGCGTCCCATCCTACAGTGGTACAGAAAAAACTGAAGACACAAAACGCATCCATCTCACAGTAACACAGGGACAGGACACAGGGCAGGGATGGAAAGAAAAGACAATCTGTGTTTGGCCTTTAACTGATACCACAAGAAGCCAATTTGTCAAAACTGGGACAGAGGGCGCCTTCACCGCAGTGGGAGAACGTGTTGTTAGCAGACTGGGTGTAGAGTATCTGTCAAACTGTGGTACATGGTGTGTGGGGGGTTTTATTTTTTTTTCCTCTGAAGACAGGGTCTTGCCATGCAGCCCAGGGTGGCCTCAAACCCCTGGTCTCAAGTGACACTCTTGTCTCAGTTTCCTGAGTGTTTGCGTGGACAGTCGTGGTGCATTATGGGATTCTGCTGCAGCTGGTATTTTAAAGAGAAAGTGTACAAAAACTGACTCCAATCAGTCTATGGGCTGCTAGAATATTTAATTAAAATGGCTATGAATTATTGTGACATGACTATTGTTTTCCAATCTAAAAAGTAAAAAAAAAAAAAAAAAAAAAAAAAACCAAAAAAAAAAAAAAAAAATGCTCACAAGCTACCTGAAAATCAGGTAATATATTTAAACTTTTAAGTTGTCCAAAATGTTAAACTTACATCAAATCAAAAGTATAGACTATAATGGAGAGGTATGCATTTTGCGTTTTGGAAGGAAAACTACACAGCAGGAGAGTATTAACTGGACCCTACCGATAAAAATTTCAGAGGGATTTTAAATATTTATCTGTAAGACCTTAGAAATTGTATTACAAAATGAACGTATGTACAAGAGATTTTGTTCAGCTTCTTTTTTTAAAAAAAGCATCAAGATTTCATCATTGCACCTGGTAAGGCAATGTTCCCTTCAAAAACACGGAACACAAACAGCAATACTTGCCTCGGTTTCTGCAACAGTAGCTTTCAGCAGGCACTAAAGTTACCAGGACAGCAGGTAGCCATTCAAGTAGCTCACGATTAAAACTGAAGTCAATTCTTTCTTTAGAAAACTGTGAGCCAGACCAATTTGTCAGCAACTGGTATTGGGCAAAAGTACAGATTTCTATCTGTCCTATTGAATAGCTAATTCAAGTTTGTTTTCTGGAGAAACACTAGCCTTAAAAGCCAAACACTTAAGAACACAGACAGACACTTGGCCAGCGTCGCACTATGGCTTCCTTCCACACTTCATGAAGCTAATTGGAGTCCCGAGTCTGTTGCTGCTCTGCATGCATAATGGTCTTGCAGGCCATAAACATATGCTTCTTTCACATGTGTAGTCTTTCAGCATCAATGAGGAATGCTGGAGAAAGTGGAAAAATATAAACTGCGTACTTACTGTAAGGGACACACTCATACTGGACTTCAAGGTATTTGTAGGTTCCGGGACATGGGTCAGGAAATACATCTGACCCAGTCACTACTATACACTGTGTTCGATTGTTGCACCTGTAAAACAGAAGGAACGAAAGTTGTATGACATAATTTAATTTTACTTCAGAAACAAAACCAATTTTCTTTAAGTAACTATCTTCATAAAACCAAAAATTTCAACTGACACTCAGTTGTTCTACGTTACTGGATAGTTATAAAAGTTTTATGAGCTTTAGACTGTAATCTCTGTACAATGAGCCAAACTAAGTGGTCATTAGACATAAAAAATAGTGGATAATTTTCAACTATGACATCATACATATGTATTTTTTTACATACTCACTACATATTGGGCAAAAAGAACACCTCACCAGGCTACTTGATGATAGACTTATAAAATAAAATTGCAAATATGAAAATGAACTATGAGCAGAAATAAAATCATAAACCGAAGAGCAAAGCCAGAAGTTTTGACAGCATACTAAAACAAGCCAAAAGACAGATTTTTAATTTTACCCTTTAAATCTTGATTTGTGTTATGTTTTCTATGACAGGCACTGTCTACGTTCTTGAGTACCAGATACCAAGCTAGTAAATCTCACCCTCGCGTGAGAGCCTGCAAGACAGAACGCACTTAAAGCACTGAGCACAACCCCTAGAACACGTTGCACAACTCAGCTTTACTGTTCTGAGCCCCTCTGGTCCTCTGGGTCAGAACTCTCTGACATGTAACATTTAAAAAAATGCTACTAACCTAATGGAGAAAGTGCCTGACATACAATTCCATAATAGGATGGTCTCGGGGTTTTGTTGTTGTTGCTGTTTCATTGAAGTCATCAAAAGTCCCAAAGTTCTGGGCAAGTTATTTATTTAAGTTCTATAAATCAGTCCAGATGTTCTTTATAGAATCTTGGTAAACGCAGGAAGTATTTCCTTTATAATACGAGTACAACGCAATGAAATGGAATGTTTGCAGGGTTTTTTTTTTTTTTTTTTAATGTGCTGAGAGTTTATACATTAATAAGGTAAAGCAAGCAGAACAAGAGATTATAATAACATTTATATAACAATTTGAATACGATATAAGAGTAAAATGGAGGGGAAGAGGACAGATCCTGAAAATATACATAAATATCTAGAAGCAAAGTATTAAAAATGTGCCAAGTATTAAAAATGTTCTTTCTACTTTTTAAAATTGCTCATAGGCACATACTCTGAAATGTATACACGCACTTTGCTATACACATACACAAATAGGAAGTGCAAGAAATTAAGTCTTGGGCCCGCCTGATAGCTCAGTAGGCTAAAGTGCCTGGCGAGGCTGACGCAGTGGCCGGGGTTCCATCCCTGGGAACCATGCCGGCCCAGTCCCCGGGTGCACTGAGACGATGACTGACACCTGGTGTGGGGATGCGTGCCCGTAATCCCAGCTCTTGGGAGGCTGAAAAAAGGAGGACCACTACGAGTCCTACCTGTGTAGTGAGACCCTGTAGTCCCTGTATCCCCCACACTAAATGCAAAAAAAGAAACTAAATGTGTCTCTCTCTCTCTCTTTCTTTTTTCTTTCTAATGTGTTTGATATAGGGTCTCACTACACAGCTCACAGTCATTGTGATCCTCCTGCTGTTTCAGCCTCCCCAGTGCTGGGATTACGGGGACGTGCCACGACGCCTGGTCTTGGTGGCTGGCTCAGCACCCCGAGGGTGGGACCGCGCAGCATGTTGTGCCAGAGATCAACCCCAGACCCTATGCTTGCCTAAGCAGGTGCTTATTCTGCTGAGCCACCTCGCCAGCCCAAGAAATTAGTCTTGAAAGAACCAACTATCAGACTAATATAGTAAAAGCCCTACAGAAGGGACTCAATTATTTAAAAAAGTATAAAACTAGGACAAACAAATGAATAAAGACATAAAACCAGGGCTGAATATATCAGTATCTTGATTCATGAAATCGAGTCTAAACTTTTAGAGGACTGTGAAAGTCAAACTAGACTGTGCTTCCCTTGGTGCATGTGACAAGTGGCTGCACAAGAAAGTAATAAATATAATTTTATTAGAGAAAATTGAGGAGTATAAGCATGTTTTACAATTTACATGTAATCAATTATGGTATAATACTAATGAATTAATACTAACGGTAAAAGAAATACAAAAGCAGTTAGGCAGTCAGCCTCAAATCCTATATATTTAAGCATTTTTCATATTGTGACTACACTTCTAACAAGCCTCTAACTTGGCATATCACCTGTGTGTGATTTCCGTATATTACATCAGGTCTGCAAGCTTATGACCACCATATTAACAAATGGATCCCTCTATTAACTATTCTAACATATACAGTATCACACTGAACAACAGAATTCCACATGTAACTAAAACAAATCTGATAATTCATAACATGTTAAATATTAGAATAAAAGTATCATTTCTGATATTAGTATTTGTAAAACATCTTATTTTTAAAATCTGAACACAAAATCTTAAATCCTGCCTTACTGGTACAAAACAGGTCTAAAAATTTTCGTCACATAAATTCATTTAAAAATGGGGCAAAAGACTGAACTGTAGACAATATTTTAAAACTCTTTGTTTTTTTCCTCAGGACTGAGAACTGAACCAGGATGTCACACTGAGCTACCTCCACAGCCTATTTTTTTTTTTCCCCTTTTTTCCTTTTCTTTTAGAAATAAGGACTAAGTCACTAAATCGCCCTGAGCTAGACTTGAACTTGAAATACAAGGCTTCAGGAATCTAGCTTGCTGGGATTACAGGCACCAACTTAGCATCTTACTACCCTAAACGGGAGGGAAGGGGAAATGAAACAAAGCCAAATACTTCTCTCTAGAAGATGAAGGAAAAACCCAAATAACTTTTGAGTTCAGTCATGTAATTCATTTTGTAGGCGTAGGATAACAGTGTAGCAAAATATTTCAGTCTTACCAAACATTAAATAATTAAAGTTAATGATACTGCTTAGGAAAGTGCATCTCATGTAAGAGAAGAAACTGAAAAATATTTAAGGAATATCTAATATATCTACATGCCATAGCAAGTAAGAGGTAACGAGTGGTTACAAAGTATCATAGATACGATTTTATCTTCTGATATAGTCATGCACAATCACAACAAGAGGTAGAATGAAGTTATAAAATATTACAAAGAATACCTTTTACCTTCTGATGTTTTCAGGCTCACTATTCACTGTTAGGGTACCTGTAGTACTTTCTAAGTATTTAATGTTCTGACAAAATGTATCACTGATGAAAACACAATACATAAAAAAAATAACTTATATTCTTGCACACAGAAATTATTTAGAAGTTGTCAGACACGGATAATAGCAATATTGTAAACAAATATTGTCTTTTGGTGGAATAAAATAATTGAGGTGACATTAATAAGAAAATATTTATACAAACAAATACCTTTTCCTAAATCTCTCTCTCTCCCTCTCATTTCTTGGTACCAGAAATCAAACTCAGGACATCCCACTTATATAGCTGAGCTATATAAGTTTGGTCCCCTAAATCTTTTAAAATAAGTGAAAGATGGCACAATGTACATACTGCTAATTATAATCTGAGAATAAATTCTATTAAATAACAAAATAGCACAATTTTTAAAAATGTCTGCCGTAATTTTTCCAGTTTTTTAAAAATTCTGCATTTGCATTACATCCTGAGCATATCAGGATGAGTAACCTCCCCATACCAACGGGGAGCAGATCCGTGCACGCACGCACCCTGCCTCAATTCTTTCCTTGCCCCTTTTCCTCCTCCCTCCCCCTCTTTCCAGCTCCTAATCCCCTTCCCTTTAGATGCTCTATGTCAAATTCAGTACAACGTTTCACTACATCCAGAATCAAGATCATTTGCTAACTGGGAAGATGATTTAAAAACACAGGGTTTAAAAATCAGAAAGAAAGAGGCGGAGGAGGTTGGTTTAAGCTGTAACTTGGCTGCTTCTTAACTGTGAATCCATTATGGAATATATTTAAACCCTTCAACTTTAACTTCTTCATCTGTAGAATGGAATATCCATTTTTATAAGTTTATTATTAGGATAAAAGGATGATACAGGAAACCTCTGCACAATACATGGAAAATAAATCTCAATAAAGATAAATTCGCACCACAAGAAATGCCAATAACGTCCCTCACATACACAGGACGGAGAGCGGCACACATCAGAGAAGCAGAACTGTGCCCTCTTCAGGAGGAGCCCCCCCCCACCGCGCATGCTCATTCCTGCGTACAGCTTTAAAAACAGGCCAAACTGCTCATGCAAATTTGTTTCTATTCCAACCCTAATCTTGAATTGTACAATGCTCAACAAATTGCTTTTACTCTTCTTTTGATTATCTTATGCTCATTATTACACGTTACCGGGTGCGAAGTATGGAGATGAGATTCCATGTGCAATCTATTGTGAGAAGTGTTTTAATCAATAGCCTTGTTCTGCTGATTAAGCAGGGCTTCTGCTTTGGCAAGATAACATTAGTTTCTCCAGTCATGCTCCAAAAACCATTGGGAATCTTCAGCAGATCATTAGATATGCTACAATAAAGCTTCGGTGCATTTTCCTTTCTCCCTTAAATTACTTCCTCACTGTCCCACCGTTCCCGTCACTGACGGCGCTGCATTGTTACTGCAGCTCCCTGAAACTTGCACGAGAGCTGTGTCTCCAGGCCAGATGACGCCATTTTCAATTGAAGCTTCTACTTGAAAATATAAATTAAGAAAATTTCATTATCTCCTGCCAGGGGCCCTTATTCACCAAGTTCTAAGGAAGATTAAAAATGCAAAATCTACCAACTTGAACAAATACTCTAGCATTCAACGGAAAAGCTCAGTATATCATGACAAACACTAAATTTCAGTTTGCCTACATTTGAAATTACCCTCTAGGAACAGTGCACTCTTTTACTGAGTATCTGTGCCAACGGAGATGGCGTCAATGGCTTTCTTCTCTAACTGGCATCTGTAACTTTTAAACATCAATTCCAAAATGTTAAAATTAAAAACTCGAGGTTTGTTCCTAAGCTAACTCGAAGCTCATCTGTTCACTTGTGGGAGA